TTTTTTTTTTTTTTAAAGAAACACTAATTAGGAGATTTAAATGAGGTTCCCACAAGCCTTTGTAGATGCAAAACAGAGGTGACTCCTTTAACTCAGAAGCACTTTCCTCTCCCTTTAGTGTTCACGGATTTATGTTTTTTCATTTTAGAGTATTGATGAACTGATTGAGAAGACGGTGCCTGCCAGCATCCGCTTGAAAAGACCCTTGAAAATGGAAGACCCTGTTTGTAAGTTGCCGGGAGAGCTCCCTTCGACTCTGCTTGCTTTGGCCTATTTGTCTTCTACAGTTTCTGAAAATCCAGCTCTGGGTTAGGATTGCCCAGGACTGGGAATATCTTTATTAAAACAAAACAGTGCGAGTACCTCAAAGGGCAGGAGAGGGTGGAATATTTAGTTCCTGGAGCAATCAGTTCTGTACCCTAGGTTGGAGTCCATGCCTCGCCTTTCTAGCTCTTTATCTAGGCGCCAGCAAACTGCCGGTGGAAGGAAGGCAGTGCACAAGGCTGTGGAAGACTCCCCATGTCCCAGGCCATGGTTCTCACATCCTTTGGGATGAGATGTCATCACCTCTGCAGGTCAGGATACTGAAAGGAGAAAGGACATGCTTATAATCATATACAACTAAGGAAGTGACAAAATGGGAGGAGATGCAGACATAAGGCCTCCTAGCCCAAGCTTCTTTATATCACAACAGCTTCAAATTGTTCTCTTATGTCCAATTTCATTTACTTATATCTACTGTAAGGCAGCAGTACTCTTCAAGTTCAAATAATTTTTATGAAGAAATGTGCAAAAAAGATTTGTGCCTGGTTTAAAAAGTTTAGTTTACTCATAGGATTACTTAGAATTTTGTTTCATACTTAAATATTTTTAATAGTCCTGAAGACTGACTTTCAGAGGTATTTTTATGAGTACTTGACTTCATGGAGTGAGACAAGAATCCGCATGTCAAAGGGTCAGGCAGAGCTGAAGAGCTCTCGCTCTTTCTCTTTTAAAAATATTTTTTTTTAATTTTAATGTTTATTTATTTTTGAGAGAGAGACAGAGCACCAGTGGGAGAGAGGCAGAGAGAGCAGGAGACACAGAATCCTAAGCAGGATCCAGGCTCTGAGCTGTCAGCACAGAGCGTGACATGGGGCTTGAACTCAAACCATGAGATCATTGACCTGAGCTGAAGTGGGATGCTTAACACTTAATTAATTGACTGAGCCACCCAGGCGCCCATCTCTTTCTCTTTTAAACAGGAAAGAATTTTCTTGGGTTATCTGGTTTTTGAATCACAGAGATGCTGTCTCTTAGACTTTTGGAGTCAGGTGAAGAAAAAGAACTTTGTTTTTTTTTTTTTTTTTTTTTTTTTTTTTTTTTTTTTTTTTTTAGGACACAAAAGATATGTGGATGGCAAACTTTATTTTGTTTTATACTTGATCTTAGCCAAAAGGCCAAGAAGTGATAAAATTTATTTTGTTTTAAAGTAGACAACTTGAAGTATGAAGCCAGTCCAGCTCCAGGTGGCTAATGTAACTCAGGTTATGATAAGAATTGCTCCCCTTGTTGGTTTCAGATCTGAACCATTTCTCCTGATGGCAAAGACCTTGCCCTTAGAAGAAAATCTGCACATTTTGTTCAATTGAACTGATTCAGTCCTGGGATAGTCTTATCTATTTCAGTTTTAGGAAACCAGAATCCTGATTTATTGGATGTTTAAAGAGTGAAGAGTTGTATATATATATATTTTTAAAATTTATTTATTCATTTTTGAGAAAGTGAGCAGGTGAGGGACAGAGAGAGAGAGGGAAACAGAATCCTAAGCAGACTTTGTGCAGTCAGTGCAGAGCTCCACATCAGGGCTCGAACTCACAAACTGTGAGATCATAACCAGAGCTGAAATCAAGAGTTGGATGCTTAACCAGTTGAGCCACCCAGGCACCCCAAGAGTTGTATATATTTTTAAGAGTTGTATATTTTTTTAAAAATTTAAAATCTTTACTTATTTTTGAGAGAGAGAGATAAAGCATGAGCAGGGGAGGGGCAGAGAGAGGGAGATAGAAAATCTAGAGCCTGAAACAGGCTCCAGGCTCTGAGCTGTCAGCACAGAGCCTGACATGGGGCTCGAACTCACAGGTAGTGAGATCATGACCTGAGCCGAAGTCAGAGGCTTAACTGACTAAGCCACCCAGGTGCCCCTAAGAGCTGTATATTTTTAAAGCAAGCCTTAGGTAATGCATTTCTGAGATTTTCAAAGTCAGAAAATGTTTGGGTCACCCATTCTTACAATATACTCTAAAACAAGATGTTCTTTAAGAGCATTAGAGCCTAGGGAACATGTCAAAGCCTCCTCTCTAAAAAAAGTTCAGCTGTTTCTTCCCAGCTGAATAATGTGAACATTGGGGGATTCCATTTCTCCTCTTTCATTGAAAGTGAACTCCTGATAAGTAATTTGCAACTTAACTGTAAACTTTAAACCCAGTGGCTTCTGTGAGATTTGGGGCTGGTTCCATCTGGTTATTCTGAGATGACTCAGAGAAAATATTGCACAGTCAGGATTCCACCCCCTTCTCCCTCGCCTTTAAGTGAATTGGCTTTCCAACAAAGCTTGCTTCTTGGAAGAATGAGCTCTGGTTGGGGCAGTCAGAGAATGTGTCAGAAAGGCATCAATGTTTTATTCTGAGGTGTGCACATGTCATGGTTAATGAATGTCCTTCACATGAGGAGAACAAACTGGTCCGGGTAACCTCCAGTAGTAGCATTTCCGTTTAATAGTAGAGCAGCATTACCCAAACAGTTTCATGTTGAATGCTTGTTTTCTGTTGTATTCAGAGAGGAATTCTGGACAATATTTGTTCACTGTATACACAGGAAACTAACAAGAGCTAGTTGGTTACATGAGTCTTAAATGCCCTCATTGCTGAGTAAAAAGACAGAGCTGTAAGCACCACGGAGATCCTTGAGTTAGTTCTTACACATAATTTAATAATCTCGAACATTTGTTTAGTGCTTACCATATAGTAGGTACTTTTAAAAGTGCTTTTCATGTGTTAATTTAGTCCTTAGCACAATCCTATGAGGTAAGTACCAGTATCATCTGTTTTACAGGGGATATGTCGTAACTTACAGTGGAGGCAGAAGTTGACCCAGGCAGCCCAGATCCACTGTCCACCCTCCAAAGTCTACACCACTGTTTTCACTTGCCTTCTGCAAAGTAGAAAACTCCTGACTCTGAAGTATCCAGTTTATTGATATGCACAAATCCAATCATGCCAGAATCCCTCTGCCATTTGCTAACTGCTCTGGTGGAAATGCAGTGGCATACTGAGAGCCCAGATGTGGAAATACTCAGCCCACTACCAGGGAGAGGGAAGGGGTGATGGGTGCAGCACTAGGGTTGAGTATTGAGGGATGAGTCGTGATGGCTTTGCTGGACAAGGCTGGGGGAGGCTGCCACAGAGGGACCATCATGTACTGGATAGAGTGGCCTGACAGAATCAGATGATTCATCTGTCCTGAGGGATGCTCCCCTCCCCTTGGACACTTAAGTGCTTTGAAAGAATACCTTGATTATCAGTTGAATTCTCAGTAAATCATGCTTCAAAAAGCAAAGCTACTCAATTCAAAATCCTATTATCCTGTTCAAGTGAATCCACTCTCCCTCACCCACATACACATAAAGAGAAAAAAATAGGAAGGATATATATCAATGGCAGCATTCATTTCCCTGGATGGGCCATGAGGGATGATTTTAGCTTTCTTTTTATTACCTTGTTCTAGATTTTCTACAGTAACTATTTTATAATACCAAATTTCAAAGTACTTTGTGTATGAACCAACTAATCACTTTTAGCTATGGTATGGCTCTCTGTGTAGTATTCTTAGTAAAATAATCTCAAGCTAACCAGACTGAACTAGTCCAGAACTGCACAGAAGCTGCAGGGTTTAAAGTTTACACAAAATTGCACATTGCTTATTGTGAGCATGCTGAGGAAGAAAGACATTAACCCCTCTAATGTTCAAAGTGTTCAAGCAGAACTAAGCAGCTGAGCTGTCACAATGAGACTTTTGACAGACTTGTGGGAACTTAATGTACTAAGCCACATCTTTTAGAGTGTTATTTAATAAATGGTTAATGGAAGGAGTGTTGTGTAATGCAGCTGCAGGTGGTGACTATGTCACCCAAGTGGGGTTGGGCATTTTCCTGCACTGATCTCAAGGACACCTAAACAGGATAACACTTCCCCAGGTGATAGATGTCAGGTGTCTTTCAGCTGGATGATATCCATCATTGGGTTCTGTCTGTAGACTCCTCAGTTTGTGACAAGACTCACCCTTGGCCTTTACCTGGCCAAGTTCCCAGTTTATATGAATTAATTTGTCTTTTTAATACTAGTGGACTTTCATTATGCAGCTGTGGAAATAAATGAAGACCAGTAAAATGAGAAAAGCAAAGACTATTCTGTACTTGTTATAGGGGGAGTCAGCCTTTTGTTTTGGCAGAGGAATGGGAAAACCTTATAGTGAAATAAAGGAAAGGCTTCAGGTATGCCAGTGTTGGGGGCTATTGGCATGTGGAAGATGTAGGGGAGGCAAGTAGAAGCAGGGGATCCTGTGTGATTGGTTAAGGGTGTGTATTTGGCTTTTATGGTTGGTCCTACATCAGAAGCCAGCACTAAAATTAAGGTAGCTGTCAGTTATTAATCAAGTCCTGGCCAATAATTTTTGGTCAATTATTATGTAAGTTATTGTGCAGTTTGCTGCATAGTCACTGAAGATAACAAGTTGACTTTCTGCAAGTCTAACTTACAGCAGGCTGGCTTCTGGAGTTTGTTATAGAAAAGGTGTTGGTTTCTTGAGCAGGTTGCTGCAGGTTGTGGGTGAAAGTTCTGTGGTAATATATGGTCTGCCATTGTCTATTTGTGTATTCAGTCTCTTACAATAGAATCTATCTTGTCCTTTTATTTTTGTCATGAATTCTTATTAGGCAGATGGCTGCGGATCTGATACCTTGGAAAGTCAGTCTATTGCCTAAATTGCTAAATGTTCATCGGCCATCTAGTATGTGCAAAGCACTGTGAGGAAAAATATATGAGTAAACATAATCACTCTCCTCAAGCTTATATCTTACCTTCTTAATATAAATATGTCAGTTAAAAAGTTAAACACAGTTAAAAAGTCCCAGGTGCCCTGAGAAGTTTGGATAAAATGCTGCGAGTATTCAGCAGTTGGAGGGAGAAAT